ATTTGAATTTGTTTGTCCAATGCCATTTAGATTCGGGAAATATACTGAACAAGCCACAAAGTTTTGTGAACGATACATGGAACGTTGCCCTAAAAATCAGGTTCCTGATGAACCTGTACACTTTAAGAAGGTGAATTGCTTTACTTGTAGAAGGCTTAAAACCTGCATTGATTTGGTGCAAAATGCAGCTTTATTAAAAATAAAATTTCTGCTAGTTTCTTCCTCATGTTTGGGGTAACTAAAATCAAAAGAGCAAGTTTTTTTTGCAAACTGACCTCATAATTTATTAATGTCTTCCAGTTTACTCTTTTTTTTCCGAATAGTCAAAAATGTTATGAACGGATCGGTTCTCTTGAGAAATGTTTGGCAGTCTAATTTTTTACTTTTACTTACTCTTCCTGTACCTGTAAAGTTTTTATTTCTGACTGCAGTTTTTCTGCATTTTAAGACCGCTACTCTTCATGACTGATTGCAGGCGAAACATATCTATATACGCGAATTCCAGTATATCTGTACCATGATGAAATCTTTTGCTTCCACCTACTGTATCCGGCCAACAGTTCTGAAGGTGATGAAATACCTTATTCTTTGTGGATTCTATAAACAGAAATGCATTGATCCTTATACAAGTGTTGTTTACGCATAAATGTGTAAACTCGTTCTCAGCAATTTTATTTTGGATTTAAATACGCAAAATTTTGAGCAACTGGAATAAATACGCTTGCTTTTTACTTACTTATTATATGTTTTGGTCGTTATAGTCTTCAGCTCATCGAAAGCCGTTAGAACTGAAGCAGGTTCGAAGATTTAAAGACTACTGTGGGAAATTCCAAAAAAATTAGTTAATCTAAAATGTTCTCACTGTATTTGCTTTTAAAATTGGTTTTAAATTTGATTTCTTTTCTGCAAATTTTAACAAAAAGTTCAATTTTTCATTTTTCTTCCAGACGTATACTTTGTAATGATACTATCTTGTTAAAAAGCCGTTTTTCCCACTTGTTTTTAGATAGCAGTCGTCACTGTTGAAACCTCACGTTGATACAATGCTGTAAATGTATTCCTAACCATTTCTGCACATTGGCTTAGCAGGTAAAATAAAAGACTAAGCTGTTAAAGATTTATGCTTAACGAGTATTTAACAACACGAGATTGAAAAAATACAGCTAATTTCAAAGAGAAGCATTTAGAAATCAGGTTTAACGGAACCAGGCTCAGTATTGCTCGAGGAGGACTTATCATACTTCCGCATGCAATATCTAATGCGAACGGTTAACATGTAAAAAAATTTGCAGTTTTCAAATGAGATTACGAATGCCATTTGGGTCATTGGTTGGATGGAACTGAATGGCATAGCATAACTTAAAATTTTGTAGGGCTTGTCGACAACTGACTGAAAAGTTTGCTGAATAGATACATGCAAGAGGTGAGCAACTTGCTGGGCCTTCGATATCAAGAAAGGTAATAAAACGACTTCATATTCAAAGACGTCGGTGAATTCTTAAAGACATCAGGCGCTTCCATCAATTACTGAATGTTTTGCACCTTTCCCAAGCTCTTGCATTAAACCTGCTTTTGATCGCAAAAACTGTAGCAGGAAATATGACAAGAAAGGTTGAAAATTGCTGAACAACAAATTAAAGATTTTACCATTTATGTGGAAAGTCACTTTTGTCCTCTTTCTAATCATGATTGTTGTGAAGACTTCTGGACAGATACCTCTGCAGCTTTCCTATTATCGCTTCTATTTAGAGACTGTAACATCTTTTCTCTTGGCTTCGAACGGCGAAGCCTCTGCATTATATTGTTAACAACAAGATTTTCTAGTATTTGTACAGGTACTTCAAATGCAAGACTGATAAAGAAACCGACAAAATAGGCCACAACAACAGCAACAGCAAATAAGTAGATCTAAAAATGCTGTGATTTCAGCTGCACGAAAATTCATGCAAGTGCGCTTAATAAACGAGCGCTGGTGAAAGCTGTTAATGAAAAATTTAAAGGAACTTACCATTTGATATGTCGCTGTAAAATGGAACGGGTGAGGTCTGCTAAAGTGATACATCTGAATTAACACTGGATGTATCAGATAAGCGCAAAAGGTTATTCTGCTTAACGGTATCCATGCTTTCCATGAAAGGAATGAATTAACTGGACCTAAGAAACTGTTTTTTAGGCATTATTCTCGTGTACTTGGCTGCATTTGGCATTGTTAACAGAACTTCAGACTATGGGGCAATGACTACATTGGAGCTAAACGAAGAAGACAAGAATTATTGTGTTTATTTCCTGACCTATTTTTGTTATTATCAAGCTTACTATTAACAAAATTTCAAGCTTTTGCCCAAAGTAAACTTCATCCAATATTTCACCCTTGGCGCCTGTTTTCAGCTTCAATTATGTTTCCAAACAACGAAACATAAGATGTATAGTAGAAACTTTAGATAATATTATACTGACAAATTGAGATCAAAATAAACAATAATGATTTGATGACCAAATAACGTTATAAAATGCTGTCACTAAATTTCTGAAGAAAAATTTACCCCCATATCCAGTTGAACATGCAAACGACACCCAGGCAAGGCTCAATGCATAACCGCTTCGTCCAAATACAACATAGGCAACAGTTTCAAGTGTAGAAATTTCGCCTGTTTTTGCGTAATGATACGGACTGAACACTGACATTAAGCCGAAAAACGTTGATACAATCCAACCTAATATTATTTTCCACTAAAATTATCTTTAAATATCAGTACGATGAAAAAAAAAAAAGATCAATCGAAGATTACGAAAAAAATATTACGCGTGGAATCACTGGTTTCAATGTTGTTTTGTTCAGGAGATAACCAACAAGCAATCCGGTAATGTAAGGAACGCAACGAATGTATGACTTTATATAAACATAGTTCCAATATGAGTCCAAAATTTTAACACTAGAAAATTTTTTCAAACCTAGATAAGTTATTGAAAAAAAAAA